CATAACTGCTGCTCATCTTAAAAGTCTCAAGAGCATAACTGCTGCTCTATCTCAAAATGTCTCAAATGGCAACGGACTGGCGCTAGTGACTAAAAACACTTAAAACGACTTCACCTTCTTGAAGGTGAGTTACTTCTTAAAAAGAACTTGCTTCTTAAACTTTAACAATAACTCATGACCTACGCTTTAAGGTAAATAGCACAAAATCACTCCAAATCACCTCAACTAGCACAAAATTACCTCAAATCATAGCTCAAGCAAAGCACAAATAATCAATCATAACATAATCAAGCAATGGTAACCAATTCACTAAAATACTTATAATCATAATACTTAAAAAAATACGTAAGGCGTAGAATTTACCCCCTTTACACTCAACTTACTTTCGTCGGAACTGGCTTGATTATGCGCTTTTGCCCTAATTTGCCGACACCACATCCTTGGTTAGGTGCCACCTCATGCCTGCTTAATAATGGCCTCCTCCTCCCTGCTTAATAATGGCCACCTCCTATCGATCTCCTGCTGAATCACACCAACCTACTGAGTCGGCTCCTGCTTGCTTGAATAATGGTCTTGCTTGCTTGAGTAATGGCTCATGTTGAAATCGCCTCCTGCTTGCTTGCAGCACCTCTCGCGTAGGAAAAACTAAAGCGCCGCTTTTAAGCTAGCACCTCTCGTAGCAGAGAGAATCCCTTGACCTTTGGTTTCCCTAGCAAGTTGCTTTCCCCATGTCGCCTCCTGCTTGCTTAAGCAGGCAGCTGACGTAGTAGAGAGGCCCCCGTTACCCCAAGCAGGTTTCGAAGGCGGAGCAGGAAGCTCTCGCCCACCGAACCATCATCCTGGAAATTGCCTCCACACCTGTCTGCTTACCGCGCTACCAAGCTGCTCTCATAGCTCCGGTACGGAGATTTGATTCTTCCCGAAAGCATCGCTAACTGCCGCTCTGCTCCGCTCTAGTTGCTTGCTTAAGCAGGCAGGTCTCACAGCAGAGACTAGGAGAGGCGGTGTCCATTGCAAGGAAGAGAACGCCGGCGGTTTTAGGATGATGCTTTCAGCTACCGTGATTTAGGGTTTAGGTTAGTTTTATGCCAAACCCATGGGGCTCCATAACTCCCTCATTTTTTTGTTTGGGCCGAGGGATTGCATTTTTAGTCCTCATCGATATTGCGATGAAATTGACAAATTTCCCTGAGGGTATGATGCGAGGTGTAACATTTCCTCCCCCCCCCCCCCCCTTATAAAAATTTCGTCCCCGAAATTTGATCGAGCTCATCCTTCCATACTCCTCATTCTCGTGCTTCTTTGGGTCAAGATTGCACTCTTGCTATATGAACTTCAATGGTGTGCCCTTGCCTTGTCTTAAATAGATTACTATAGTTCTTATATGTACTCTTGACAACAAAAGGTATTCTTATCTAGTTCGGCAGCATCGAATCGATTTGAGTGACTCATTGCCCTTTTCAAAATTTTCCAACTTGGGCCCAGTACTTGATGTTGAACCTATCGAAGTCGAGGTATCACATTTCCTCCCCACTTATAGAAATTTTGCCCTCGAAATTTGTCCACTGTGATTACCCTAAGCATCGCTTGTGGTAATCCTTTTCACTTTTCGGATTTTTATTTCCTTTAACTTATAGGACATGACCTAAAATCCTTCTCTCCATTCCCTACAACTTTAATGTTGTTGTGGCTTCTTAACCCCTCACATTACCTCGGCTGCACCTTGTACATATATAGGAACGATAACTATCCCATTGTTTGGTATACGAGACGTTAATGCTCCTCTTGAACCCCAGGGTTACATATGGTGGCTTATCCTCTATCCCATCAGATGGTAAAATTCCTTTAATGTAACTCTCGTTCGGAGTTGACCTCATAGGTTACCTAGGTCCTTGTATCTCCTAACTCTAGATCTCTTACTTTCTTCCTCAATGCCTCGTCTTATCCCTTAACCATAAACTGAATGGTCACCGCCTCGTTACTTGATGCTTGGTGTTGGAACCTCATACTACTGTTTCTACTTCTTGTATGCATTAGAGGCATCCTTTGCGTCTTTCTCTAGCTTGTTAGCAACTTTATGACTCCCTTCAAAATTCATGACCTTCCCTTTGGCTTACTTGTTCACTCCTGGCTCCTAACTTAGCACTTCCTTATCACCGTTTGACTTGGGAGTTCTCGTACGATCTCTTCTATTGTTCCTTGACCTTGCCTGAAATTCCTCGTACAGTTTCCCCGTCCAAGAAATTTTCACCAGAGAGATCGCCTCATTTCACCCTCATAGGTGGTATTGCTTTCACTTTAGGGTATCCTAGCAGGTTCGCTAAACTCATATCCATCTTACTTCTTTACTCGTGACTCCTCTTACCAATGTTTCTCGCTAGTTCTATATGTCCCTCGTCCTTGATGTAGTCATCTTGGTGCCCATATTCTCTTCTCACTTATGTACCTTGACCGATAAGGTTTTCCCATCGACCGTTCTGGACCACCACACTTCTACTTTAAAGTTGACCATTGAGCTTCTCCGTTCTTGATGGGCTTCCTATGGTCCAACCCATTCTCCACTGGAAATCACCTTAACGCCTCCTTGTTGACCTTTGTATTCTTTCACCGGCTCTTCCTAACTATCTTTCTCCCTGAATTTGTCGTTTTATCAACTACCACCCTTTTCACCATAACTTTCATTATAGCCTTGTGGTTTCCTCCTTACTTCCAAAACTCCTTCATCGATGCTTGGTACTAGCTTTGATCTACTCAGTTTAGTAGCTCCTCGCCATACCTCAGAGCCAACATTTCCACTAGAAACTTTCTCTAGGTAGACTTGCCAGATGACACCCTAACATCTTAAACTTATCGTGGTGGCTCTTCGCCACGATTCTCAAGAGCATAACTGCTGCTCATCTTAAAAGTCTCAAGAGCATAACTGCTGCTCTATCTCAAAATGTCTCAAATGGCAACGGACTGGCGCTAGTGACTAAAAATACTTAAAACGACTTCACCTTCTTGAAGGTGAGTTACTTCTTAAAAAGAACTTGCTTCGTAAACTTTAACAATAACTCATGACCTAACGCTTTAAGGTAAATAGCACAAAATAACTCCAAATCACCTCAACTAGCACAAAATTACCTCAAATCATAGCTCAAGCAAAGCACAAATAATCAATCATAACATAATCAAGCAATGGTAACCAATTCACTAAAATAATTATAATCATAATACTTAAAAAGAATACGTAAGGCGTAGAATTTACCCCCTTTACACTCTACTTACATCCGTCGAAACTAGCTTGATTATGCGCTTTTGCCCTAATTTGCCGACACCACATCCTTGGTTAGGTGTCACCTCCTGCCTGCTTAATAATGGCCTCCTCCTGCCTGCTTAATAATGGCCGCCGTCTATCGATCTCCTGTTGAATCAGACCAACCTGCTGAGTCGGGCCCTGCTTGCATGCATGCATAATGGCCCTGCCTGCTGAAATCGCCTCCTGCTTGCTTAAGCTAGCACCTCTCGTAGTAGAAGGAGTCGCCGCAGTCCCTAGTTCTCCTGCTGAAATCACTTCCTGCTTGCTTAGCACCTCTCGGTAGCGTAAAGTAGCCTCCTGCTTGCTTAAGCTAGCACGTCACGCAGTAGAGAGAGAATAATCATATCCTGTCTCCCGAGCTTTGATTTCTCCGAATCACAGCTGACGCAGTAGAGAGGCCCAACCTGCCATTGTCCCAAGCAAGCAGGTTTCAAAGGCGGAGCAGCCAGCTCTCGCCCATCGAAGCATCATCCTGGAAATTGCCTCCACAGCTATCTGCTTACCGCGCCACCAAGCTGCTCTCTTAAAACCGGTTCAGAGATTTGATTCTTCCCGAGAGAATCGCGAAAGAGCATCGCCAATTCCCTCATTTTTTTGTTTGGGCCGAGGGATCGCATTTTTAGTCCTCATCGATATTACGATGAAATTTGACAAATTTCCCTGAGGATATGATAGTCATTTTGACTTTTTTTTGGAAGAGCGGGGTGTAACATAATAAAAGCCATTCCGCCTCTTTTTCTTCTTTAAGGTTAGCTCGAAAGCGAGTTCTTACTGCAAACAGAAAAGCTCCATGAAAGGTTAGCTCGAAAGCGAGTTCTTACTCTTTAAACTTAGGGGAAGAAAGTTGTGATTACTGGGGTTGAGGTTAACCTTCTTAAAGACCGATCCCCTAAGAGTTGGTAGCTACTAGCAGTAGTGGGATCAGTGTGAGACTAGCTGCCAAGCCATTAGTGACCAATTGCTATATAATTAATTTGAGATCTGAATCACTAGTAACCAGTACTTGAGTAGTCAACTGAAAAGGACCCTAGGGAAATACGACTCCAGCCAGTTTTACTTTATGGATTATCTTTGCATGCGCTTTTAGCGACATCAGTCTTGCTTGTAGAGCCCTTTTCTTCCACCTTTAAATCTCCCAATATCTCTTTAAACATCTTAAATATTCTCTTCACCCATGGTCCATGTAGAGATCTAATTTGAGCTCGAGTAACGTTATGTAGGGTGTGTGGGGTCACATCACTCCCTCCCTCTTGAAAAAGATTTGACCTCAAATCTTGCTGCGGCATATAATGCTCTCCCGTGACTTCAGCATTTTTCCACTTGAACATAGACCTTGCAGGCTAAGTTGATCCGCAAACTCTTGGAGTCTTCGTCTCTCTCTAATACGAGCCTCCTGGTATGGCACTTCATTTCCAATAACAAACTCCACGTGTTGAACAATCGCACCATAATCTCCAATTTGAATTGGCTTGCATTGAGTAGAGCTTTGACCATGTTCATTAGCAGAATATGATGTTAGTGATGTACTTGGAATGTTGTTGATGCCCATGGACGAATTTTTGTGATGTTCAATGATATCTCCAATATCAAAATCTACTCCAATAGGAAAAAACTTGTCTTATACTTGTAGAACATTTTCCTTCATCTCCATATCTTCATTGTCATAGACATCCTTGGGTAGAATTCCATCTTCAATGGTCAACTAAACATGATCTGTAGCTTCTTCAATAAGTGACTGTTTTGGACCCTCCTTTAAATTTATCTCATCATTATCAAAGTCCATTATCATGTTGGTGATAGGCAGCACCTTCTCTTCATCTTCTATTTTAAGTTCTGGTTCTTGTTGAGAAGGCGTCAAAGCTTGTGCAATTTCTCCACAAGTAGCTGTAACAAGTCCATCAACAAGAACCTCTTCTTTTTCTTCCAATACGTCTTCTAGTTCTGCCACTTCTTCTTCGAAACTCTCTTCTAGTAGGGAAGTAAGTAGATCCGTTGTTGTACTCAAACCAATTTCTTTCTCATCCTCAACTTTAGCTTCTACTTCAACTTTGTCATTGCCATCTTCTTGTTCTTTCTTTTCAATTTCATTCATATTCATCTCTTCTTTGAGATGCAATGCTGGAGGTGTAGAACAATGGCCAAATAACTCCCCTCTAACCGACTCTTCTTCATGGTCACTCTCTTCAACATGAACATTCTCTTCCTTTTAGTTCTCCAAGAGTGGAACGCGAATTTTTCTTGGGCATTGACTCGCCATATGACCTTTTTCTTGACACATGTAGCACATATAACATCACTAGAACGAAAATCAGATAGAGTTTTTTCATTGAACGTTACCCTTGAAGATATAGGTAATGGATTCGATTTGAGGATGGGCTTGGGATCTTCATGTCGTGGATATGAAGCCTTTGTTGTATTTGACAAACTCAGATTGGTTGAAGAAGCAATCTGTCGTGTATAACCTCTGGTTTGGTACTTCTCCACTTGGATTGTCATTTGTACCAACTCATTCAAATCAATAAAAGGCTGAATCTCCACCACATGCCTTATTTCACGATTAAGACCGTTGAGAAATCTATCTATAGTTTCTTCCTCATCTTCATCAACATCAGCTCTCATCATTAGCAATCTCATCATTGTTGAACTCCTCATAGCCTTCTTTGTCATAGAAGGGAAAGTCTCTACTTGTACAACGATGGCCTCCCAATGGCCTATGTCGATGAACATGCTCATAAATTGGACGTTGAACGGCTCGTACAACTCTCATTTCTTCTTGTTTCTCCCTAGGGTTAGGGTTTGCATACTCGCCTTGGGGTGGCTCTTGATCTCGTGGTTGAGGTTGATCTTGATCACGCCTTTGCAATGCATCAATTTATTTCTTAGTCGCCGCTTGTTCTTGAAGTAGCTTTGCTACTTGGGCGGCGATTTACTGAAGTTTTGTCGCCACGTCTTGTACTTGATCCGCCATCGTTTCTTGCTAAAGAAGAACCCCACGAATGCTTTGTCTTCAAGATACCTTCCTTGCCGCACAAGAAACCCTCAAGAACGTTCAAGATTTGCTTTCTTGATGTTCAAGACTTCCAAGAATGCTTCACGAACTACCAAGAACTCCAAGAAACTTTGTCTCCCCGCTGTGTTTGAACCGGTAATCTTTAAATTGCCGCTGAGTTTGAACCAGGCTCATGATACCACTTGATACGACCCAAATTCGAAGAGAACCCTCAAACTCAGATGATATGACCAAACTACGCAGCTCCAACAATCTTTTCTTGATTTTCTTGAAAACGACTTTCTCTTAATTTTCTTGACGTTCTTGATTTTCTTGATTCTTTGATTTTATTGAACTCGAAAATAAAGGATATTCGCGAAAGTCGATAAAACAAATCCGAACTCGTGACAAGGGCCAATTGGTATATGAAACCAATCAAACAATCTCGAACCTGTGGATAAGGGCAAATTATATAGTCGATGCTCACCACAACTAGACGCATTCTTTAGTTGATAAGAGACCACTCAATTCTCCCGAATCCTCAAATGAGAGATTAAGCATAAACGTTCACAAAGGAACTCACACAAACTCACTTGTAATTGATTAACTGAAAACTTGAATAAAAAAATACATTGGTTGGACTACTATTTATAGACCCACGAATCTAAACACAAAACAACTAAGAAAAACCAAATCCTACTTGAAAAAGGAAAACAAAAACCTTAACAAACAAGTAAACAAAGTCCTACAAAGAAAATGAAACAAATTTGACTTTTTCATCCCTTAATTCCAATCTGAAAATCCTCCCTCACATGGCTTGTGTTCACACTTGATATTCCTTTCACACTTGTATTCCTTTCACACCTTCTGTTCACACCATGGGGGAATTCCTTCATTCTGGGCCGAATCTTCTTCTCCTTCTTCCAAGCCCATCTTCTCATGATTTGTATCCACGAATTGAAGCAATGTGATGGGCTTTCGTTTATGCAAATCCATGTCCATCAAGAACGATCCCATTTGATCCTTGTATTGTTGTACTCGGACCTTTATTTTTGGACCACGAGAACTATATATGTTGGCATTCAATTTCACATGAACAAACTCGTAGGTCTTGCTTGTAGAGCCCTTTTCTTCCACCTTTAAAGCTCCCAAGATCTCTTTAAACCTCTTTAATCTTCTCTTGACCCATGGTCCATGTAGAGATCTAATTTGAGCTCGAGTAACGTCATGTAGGGTGAGTGGGGTCGCATCATCAATAAAACATACACTAGAAAGAAATTCATTCACCCTAATGAGATATGGAAAATTATTGAGAGATAAGAGACCATCTTAGTGGTTCACAATGACCTCGACGTCATCACGAGGGTGATCGACCGCAAGAACCTTAGAATCATCCGAGAAAGGGAGAAAAGCATTAGCACAAAGAGGAAGAGGGAAACAAGGTTGTTCCTAGAACACAAATGCATAGCCTTCTTCGTACTGGTTATCCAATGAAGTCACGGGGTAATACCAACTGGGTGTTGGTTGATATCCCCACTGGTCAAAAAATCCTTGGGTATTCATGATTCAAACCGGCATAACCATAAACTAAAACACCCAAGTGGAAATCAAGGGTGGGAAAGAAAACAAACAAAAGAAAGAAAATCTAAAGTAATAAACTTTAGCCTTTCATAATAACCTAAGCAATCCCCGGCAACGGCACCAAAAACTCGACTTCCTAAAACTACACTCCTAACAATGCCAAGTGTAACAAAGATAGTATCGCAATAATAGTGGCACAAGTAATAAAATATATAATTCACGGGTCTCTAGATTTACTATTACTTATCTTCAGTTTATTATTTAGGAAACCAGATTCTGATTAAAGAACTAAAACTACTCTATAAAACTACAGTTAAAGTTAATCTAATTACACCTGAGAACTCACTTAGGTATTGATTCACACTAGCCACTTAAGCGAACAATGATTGATGATTCTCTAACTTGATTCACTATTCACTCACAATGCGAAGAGTCTTTAACTAAACATTGAATCTCGATGAAAGCAATAAAGTCCCTCTTGAGTCGGTTGCTTAGAGGGGTGTATCCTCTCTAAAACAACTGATCAAGGCGATCCACACTAGACTCCCTCTATTGGGCAAGGTTCTCACTCAATACATAGCATTGAATCGACTCACTCATGTGTTATCTATCCTCCCCTTCCAATCCATGGTTGTCTATTTACCTAATCAAGATTCCCTCTCATAGAATCAAAGCATAATCAATAATTTTGATTAAATCATAATTGAATCATGAAATCAAGATTATCAAGATAGAGCACTCGTACAATCATCCAATCAAGCAAAACATATTTAGGGTTCGTCAAAACCTAAGTGAAGGGAATTTACTCTATAGGAAGAGAAGAATGCAGAATTTTATCTAGATCTTCAATCTCCATCTCAAGTTTGATTCTCGAGCTCCAATGACAAAGAAATTCTCCAAAATTGCTGCAAGAATGTTCACATGTCTCTCTCTCTCTTTCTAAGGTTCGTCACTTGGGTGTTTGAGATCCAAAGCTCAGTCCTCCCCCTTAAGAAAACAAAAATAGATTGATAAAAGAGAAGGTGCCATCTTTAGAGACAAGAATAAAACCTTTATATTCTCCTTGTGTGATGAATAAAACCGAGTCTCATCTTTTAAATTTTTCTTCTTTACCCATAATGGCATAATTCATTCCTGCTCGTGTTTAAATAGGAAATAATCAAGCAACTCGGATTCGAAACATGGATCACAATTCCTAAATAATAGCAACAACTTAAACTAAAAGAGTGGTACTTGTTAAGAGTGGATCGTCAATAACCCTATGGTGAATAAACTTGCATAATCAAATTTGTACCATTCATTTTAAGTAGGCCCCCAGGTCTAAGGGTTGACAATTAAAGTCTATTTTTTTTTTTTTGCACATATAGAACGAGTTTGGTGTGCTCTTCAAAATTAGTTCCATTTACAATATTTAAAAAAAAACATTATGCAACTCATACCACTCGTGGCCACCTCCCTACCATATGGTATGCCCTTCGTTTTATATCAATTTTGAAATTTTTTGCATAGAATGAACGAGTTCATCATGATCTATTAGATCTACAAATTTAATGGGGAGAAAATACAGGACCAAAAAATACGATCTCATATCACCCTAGTATAGAGGTGGTGTCTTCCGGTACATTCATACCACCGTGATACACTTTTATACCACGTGGCATGCTCTTATGTAATACCAAACAATACCATCATGGTATAGGCTAGTACTAAATGTCTCAAAACTAAAGAGATATAGCCTTTTAAAAATTACAGAGAAGAATATTAACCCTTCCTTAAATTATGAGGGGGCCCAAGGTGAAGGTTATGCATAGCTATGCACCACAAAATTATGTACTAGAACTACTCCCTTTTATTGTAGTGACAAACTCCAAGCTAATTAACAGCCCAATTTAATTGACAATTAAATTGCATAACACTCCCACGTTGTTGATGACCAGCTAGTCACTCTCTCCCTGCAAATGTTCGTTTGTTTTATTATTAACTAGCTTTATAAGCATCCAATTGGGGGGAGTATGTAAAGAATCGTAAACGCGGGGAAAAACACGACACAAGGATTACGTGGTTCCTTTCATTCGATGTGAATGAGTTTACTCTACGGAGAAACAATGCTATCTCTACTTATTTCATTCTCTTAGTATTGCCGATTACATCATACAATTTATATAACCCTAATAAACTAACTCCTAGGGTTACACGAGTTGTAGCCAGTCGAGGGAAAAGACACTAACACCCTTACTTAGCTAGACGACTACGTACTAGAGAATGCCCACAAGCTGAGGCATGCAGGTTACAAATGCCCAGCTTGGAAAGAAGCATATGAAACCGATCACCGCCAAGACCTTTGGTCAAAAAATCCGCCAGCTGAAATTCAGAAGAAATCTTCTGCGTGAGGATATCATTATATTGGACGTGACGTGGTCGCGAAGAAAATAACAATCCATTGCCACATGTTTCATCTGCTCATGAAAGACTGGGTTAGCAGCAATCTATAGAGCTGCCTGATTATCATAGTGAAGGACAGTAGGACG